GCAAATTCTGATTTCAGATTAGCAAAGTTCCGCACCCCGGCGGCACAACTACAGGTGTTTCACCTCGCGGCAATCGCGATGTTTTGCCACTTATGAATTCCGGACCACTGCCATCCATGGGGCGCGCTCCGTTGCTCGCTACGCCGGTTGCTCCACCTACGAATGCAGTATGTTCATGAGATATAACTCAAGAGGTAAACCATTTCAGCGACAGCAAAATATTCATATTCCAGTATGGGTATGGACTCCCGATGCCTCAGTCACCATTCAATTGTGTCAATGAGGGTCTCAATCCCCCAATGGGTAATATGCCTCCAATGAATTATGGAGTACCCTTCTATAACCAGGTGAATGGGGGAATTCATGTAGATTTGGATGCGCTAATTTGAAGTTTAAGGACAAGCTAGCTTTCTTACATGGAGAATTTCTGTTTATAGTGAGCGCCTCCCTGAAAAAGCTTAATATGCAAAAGAAGCATATGTTCCACCCCGTTCTAAGCAAAATTGCTCTCTCTTCCACACTTTCTTTTCTCATTTCCTCAGCTCAAAGCTGCAAAACGCGAACACATCTACAGCTGATGTAGAAATATAGTTTGTTCTTGCGCAAGCTAAAAAGTATTACATTAGATTGAAGAGCCATCTCAAATTTCACAAGCTATTTTTAGGAGCCTACTGGAACCTATCTTGCACAAACTCCTATTACTGGCCAACCAAGTATTTCCGCTATGAACATGAATGTAAGAGTACTGGCTTTCAAAGAAAGCAGGCGTATAACGACTATATTCTTCTATTCTAGACTCCCGGCAACTATCTCGGTACTCTTTCCAGCTCTATTCCAACGAATTATTTCGTCGGCAGGAACGAAGTGAGAAGATCTTATTCTAAAAAATTTCAGGAACTTCTCAATGGATATCAGCTTAAATTCAGAATATCCTCCAACTTTTAAGTAGAGACGCATGAGGTTCAGCCTAAATTTACACTCACTTGACGTCTATTCTGATACATTCATGCCTTACTGTAGGTTTACAGTGCAAAGATAAGCAATGACTTGGTGCCAGTGATGCACGTAGTAGATCGAACGGACATTTTGTCATATGGGATGATGGCAGTCTGATTAGGT